AATGTCACCACAGTTGGTGCGAATACTTTTTGAACCAACTGAACAGCTTGACACGCAAGCGAACTGCATTGTTCTAATTATTATTATTATTATTATTATTATTATTATTATTATTATTATTATTATTAGAAATATATGGAGAGAGGAAGGGAGAATAGGCAGTTGGACAATGACCAGATCTTTGTTCTCACTAAACGTGCAACCAACGGCGCTGGTGAATTTCTGTGCAGATATTTTTCTAGCAGGGATAGCGTTGAAAACACAGTGGGTTTCAAGGTTGAAGAGATCGCGACAAAGACGGTGGATAGAATTGTCGACAATTTCCNTTCGGGTCATAGATCTTATTTCCCAGTCCAGGAAAACGTCGCATTCTGTGCCATGTCGATGGATGATGCAAAAGTGCATTATGATAACCGGGGCGGGAGAGTCATCAACGGATCACGGCACGCATCAGCCTATTCTTGGATGACAGTGAGAGTGGTTGGCCATAGTCGATGTTATTCGTGCTCATAACGCGGTGGATGTCAACGGCTTTTGAAATGTTAAATGATTTCATTCTAAGAGTACTGGAGTGAGAAGAAAAACCGGCACTTTCGTCTCCAAATGACAACTTTTCATTCGTGACGTTGTCTGCTTCAGTGGCCTAGCACACATCAGTATGTTGACACGTCCAGGTTACTGGTGTTTGCTATCAAGCTCCGATTACAACTTGTATGGACATGATTAGCTAAATCAATGACAGCGGCACACTGTATTTCCCACATACATAATCTTTTTTAAAGTGGAAATTCGTCTTGTATTTGTCAAATGAAACGTGTACTGAAAAACTAGGAAGTACTCGACAGCTGTTTGGACTTGGTTGGCTCTCGTCAGCAGTGCGAGTCTATCGACCCAACTGTGGATCGAACCCGGGACCTCATGGACAGAATGCTACCTACTCGATACCGGGCAAGTGATCAGACCGTTTTCCAGACCCAACCAGGTCGAAACAAATGTCCAGTGTTTCCTAGCTTTTCAGTTCACGCTTCATTTGCCATATACACGACGAATTTTCACTTTGAAATTGAATCAAATGCTCCATTACTCCGATGGACGTGTATAATCCGTTGACTGTGTCTGGTAAACAATGAGACTGCAAGTTCCGATTTATAACAATACATGACATTACCTAATTTAGTGGTTTTCCGGAATATTTAATATCGAACATACCAGTTCGCCTTGGTTCAACCATAGACAAAATTATGAAAAGTAATAATGTGTTAAAAAACATACAGATAGATATCGTCCCAAATGTATGTATGATTGATCCACGATCACGATAGCAATCTCCATATTAGTGACACGGTTTATTAGCCACAGACCATAGATGTCTTCGGTCACGTTGATTTAAACGTTCCCCTCAGCGAAACTTACATGAATAATACACGTTCTTTGATGAACAGTTCGATTGAGCCCAGATTGACAAACACCACTTGAAGCGTGGTAAAGAAGAACAGACCGGCACGATTTTGAATACCGGATTCTAGGGAAGTGTTCATTTTGAAATACACGGTACCCATGGCAATAGCAAAGAACAAATAGACCAGTGTTTGCACGACGGAGGCCAATGGATCACGTAACAAGCCGAGCGAAGTACGCCAACAGACTTTGTTCAGTTGTCGACAAAAAGGGACGGCATAACTAATCTCGGCCGCATGGGATCGATGCATTTTACTGCGATGATGGCGGTGACGATGATTACTTTCCTCGTCCTCGGCCAGATTGTTTGCGATCGCGTTCACTTCTTTCATGATGCTATAATCGAAAAAGTTCGGATGGTGGAGTAAAGGAATAAAAATATAAATTTATCGTGAGAAAGTGGTTAATAGTAAAAACAATTGGTTTTACATACTTTTTATTCATTGAATGTAAAACGCCACAGGTGACTTTCAGGAGAAGACTATGCCAAATCAAAAAGTTCCTCGGCAGAAACAAGCTTGGTGTGGTTTGGTAGCCGCACAGTTCATATTCGAACATACGATCTCCGAGCCAAGATGCCTGTTAACCATTTAACAAACGTAGACCCTAGCAGTTTTTGGTATTTCATCGCCGTAGTTATTACACTCTTGGTAAGTCACATGGAATGGTCAAGACTATGTTTAATTCATATAGAAATGGGCTAACAGTGTTGGTGGTTGAGTGGGCAGCTCATGGCCAGGAGTTTCGTCTACCACTCCAAAAGTCCACCGACCCTCCTCCCCAGGAAAGGATACGAACATATTACTGACGAGTTCAATCAAGCACGAAATGGTTACGGTTGAAGAACAGAATTGATCCACCATCATCAACCTATTACGTTCAGGGTCTACAATTGCATGCACAAGCACTCCTCCAAAAAGGTTGGATTGGATAGGAATTACAATAAGCCCGCCGCCACCTCTCCGGTCTGAGTAGTTGTGTAACGAAGGACGGCAATATATAAAATACTAATAGGTAGGTATTAGTCTCGAGCAAGCTACGTTGCTGTGACTCATTGTCGGAGAGGGTAAAGCATTTAACATGCAAAATATTTGTTGTGAGCGCGATGAAGTGTCTCAAACACTGAGTTTGTCCCTCCCCTCCTCCAAAATTATAATACCATTAAGGTGTAACAGATGTTGCATTTATATACATAACATAAGTAGTGTATAGATGAAGGGATCTTCGCTCACTGCATGCACAGTATCGTGTAGATTTTCACCTATCAAAGATGTGTACCAGATTCCCGAAGAATGATAATACTGATAATTAGGAGAAGTGTTTGAGTGGGCAGGTTGCTAAATGTGGAATAGCATTTTGCATTTATGTGTATGTGCATGTGCATGTGTGTGTGTGTGTAGAAAATGAGAGAAGTTGCCAGTTTTCAGTAAAGCTTTAAGAACGATATCGATTTAAATGTAGGCGAACATGTTTACGAGACAAACCTTTCACATTCGGGTGACTGATTCCACTCCTGAACCAATCGTTCACCGACCAGATGCATTTGTTCCGGATCTTCCAACGTTTGTTGAAAGTCTCCTGGGAATAAAAACGGAACATTAGAACGGAAGATGAAGAAGTCACACGAATAGGACATTTATTATACTCTGCTTCTTTGAGTTCCTATCCCCCCTCCGAGAAATATGCGGCCTAATACGTTCAGTTGGTTGTAAGAAAAACGAAGTGAAGATGGTTCAGAGTACTCTTCCGTTCGACCACTTCCAAATCTGATTAGTCAAAGTCACAGTGATAGTTTTATCATGGGAAAGGCTTGCAAGCTATTGATTTTCTTGTCCCGAAAGGTCTTGGCGCAAATGAATCGAGTGGTTGAGCAGAGGGGCAAGTGAAGTACCGTACACCGTGTCGTGTAAGAGGAATATCACATTGTTTCACTATTTCAAGTAATTTTCGATGTTGAAATGTAGGACTCATCAAGTCTGCGTTTAAAAGAATAATTTGGGAGCTTACGAACAACGAGAGCTGACAGGGAATTCGAAATTCGGTACTCTTTGAGTGCAAAAGAATAACGCCGTCACTTCCAGTCTACAAATTTTGAGCACTACCTTCCGTGGATCTGTGTTTTGGTGAATATTGGGTGGGAAGTAGTGAGACACATAGATGAACAGGGTTCTGCATCTACGAGGACCGGATAGAACTTTTCCTCCGAAGATGGCTGATGCGTCTTGGCAAGAAAACTACTCAAGTTGGAATTCCGTTGACCCGCATCACACCCAGTGATGACACACATTATGTTGAGGAACTCGATATTTATCGTCTGATAGGACATAGATTTTTCTCTTTAAATTATCTTCCATTTTGAGCCCGAAAAAGTAGCGCACTGAATGCATTTTCACACGAGTGATTGGCGAACAATCGAATGCAAATTAGCCCACCTCTGGTCACATCCCAATGATGTACGCATGAATCTACGTAAAGGCGAATGTGTAAACAGATTGAGTACTGTCGAACATTTCAAAATAATAATGGGCAGTGAAATAGGTGTAATAGATGCGCTACCATTGAATATCGCAGTCAACCAAAACTAAGGGTTTCGATCAAACAAAGGGGTCAGGAATCAGTCATCAAGCAACCAAATAATCTGGTACATTGATCGGTTGCTGAATCCTCGATATGAAGTCGATAGGCAGTTTGAAAAGCTAGCCAAGGTAATACACTTTCTTTAAATTTCCATTTGTGAGATGTAAAGAAGCCTCAGAAAAACCGACCGGGGTGATTATGCCGAGTTGACATGGCGGAGAGGTCGCGTTTTGGTAGGGCTTCCAGCGATCTACTGGTTCATAAGACAGGGTGGAGCCTGGACTCTTGAGAGATGTGTCCAATGGAAAATAAGTGCAACGCAACGAGTTTTTAACTTGTGATCTGACTCACAACACCTAGGTTCTCCTCCCTGCAAATTTGGCGATTCGTTTCACTAAAAGTAAGTCGCAGACAATCAGCGATTATGTTCTCGCCCTGAGAAGAATCAACCCTTAAAACGAGCAAATCAAACGTCGGTTCCATCGGTGTGGCCTCTTAGTTAAGCTGGTAGAGCGTGCGGTGTACAAAGGCGTAGGCGGTGTCCATGTGTAACATAACCCTGAATTCGCTGTGACAATCCCCCCAATTAGTTAGTCTTTAAAGACCTTAGTGAACTTTCTGGTTTCCGGTCTTCTTACTTTTCATGCATGTGGATGGGGCTGTTCGATCACCGACCGGTGGTGGCGTCTGTCACAACTCTAATACCCGCCCCTCCGCTAACTATCCTCCGACCATTGATTATTTGCGACTTTATGGAGTTGATAGTATACCATACACAAATGTAATTCTGCAATGAGACGTTCTCTAACTCATACCTATTTAAAATAATGTTTGGATATTGTGGCACTCATCTTCCCGGCTTTGTTAGGTAATGCAGTTTGATGCAAGTTAAACAATGATATTATTACTTGCAATCTAGTGTATCCCCCCACTTTAGCATTCCTTGGCTTGTTGGAAAATTTCCTTCAAGCTCGTCTGTCGTGATACGCTCTCTAAGTGCGGCACTTCCACAAATCCAACAAGTATTTATCGGTTCGTATTTGTTAGTCTCATACAAAGTCTTGCGTGTATTTCCGAATATCCTCCTGTGGATTTGTGGATGCGTTTCACATGAAAATCCAAGTGATCTGTTTGTCGTCCTCGACTCTTGCGAAAATCTTTGTATACCAGTTTTGTTTCCACACTGGTTAGAATTCCGACGGACAAGGATGCGGTGCTGTGGGCACTTTCAACGTGTCCTGTTGTTCAACCCTTTCAAATTTTCATTTCCTTTACCGTGAGCAGAGAAACACGAATAGACCGATAGAATACAACACTGCCTCTGCGTGGGTTCACTCAACACGTCATTTTATCCCGTACTCTCTCAACTCCAATTAAATGTGCAAAGCCCAAACGAATGAACCCTTAACTAAAATGAAACCTAGTTGTGTATGAGCAGAACCTAAAGAGAAATCGAAGAATCAATAGTTTACAACAAACGGATGTAGTACATTCTTTCGGTGAAAACTTGCAGTCTAGTAGACTGTTTCTCACAGGTGGACAACTGCACTCATTCACCGTTGAAAAACAGAGGTTACGGTTAAATGTAAACGCTTTCAAACACAAAATTCCGAGTACTTTGATTCACCGAAGCATATTCGGAATTAAGCTAGTCATAACCACAATGTCGGGACCATTTCTTTTGCATTTGCACAAACAACGTGTAGCCAGGAGTGTCAGTGATGCAATAATATGACAAAGACCAAATTATCGTCAAATTACCAAAATGAGTTAGTGAAGCACACCAGTACACCATGGTTAAGTTCTTGCCACACACACAGCACGCGTAATCGTCGCAATGGACAGATCAACAACGACCATCAATAGTGAGAACGTTCACGAGTTTGAAGGGTTAATTTTAAAATGTATAGCAATTCAGTTTCACTTAGGACTGAGTGATGATACATCTCGTGGTTATCATAAGTAGTTATCTAATTAGAGACGATAGGGTTACACATACCATTCTAGCGAACGGCAGAGAAGCCGTAGCTACTCACACCAGCTGAATTGCTAACTGCGTTGCTACCACGTACCTTGATCATTGTCATTATCGGTATTTTCTAGATAAAAAATGCAGTGTACGGTTTGAGAAGAGATAAATAAAGAAACGATTTAGAGGGAAAAGTTACCGTCAGATGCCCACTGATAAAGGTTGCAACAGGGACAGTATACAGTTCTGTGTAAGTTGGGAGAAGAACCACTTGAACATATGTTCTGAAGTTGACTCTGAGTTCGCACAATCGCACAACACTGACTTTTCACTCAATTGGAAAGTAATCTCACTTGTCAACGGTGACAGTATTATGCGAAATGCCGTGGAGACTAGGTAAATCGTCTTTTTTCTGCTAGTGATTCTAACAAACGACGATCGTTAATTTGTACACAAACAATGAAACAGTGAAAGCGTATCGACAACATTATTCTCTCAAAGCCGGTCTAGTACTGACTAAAGATGTGCCTCTCTTGGTTTCCTCCCTTTGGGTTTGGGGGTGCGTTTATTTCGTCTCGTTTTTTACTAACCTAGTCTAAAGTAGCTTCTTATCGTTGCATTACGATGACTGCATACCAATATTCATAACCTCACAAACAAGGAGAAAGTGTAACAGAAAAGTAGCCGTACGAAATACCTTCCTTAAGCCAACAAAGATACCATCGATCACAATAAAAAGTAGTGGCATTGATAAATCCATCCGGTTCACGCATACCACTTTTTGATCGGCTCTGGTTGACGGTCATACGATCAGTTGAGATAGCCTTGAGGTACCTCGTACCAGGCAGCTGAATTGATTGACAGTCAACTTTGATCGATACGCAAATAGGTCTGCGATATCACTGAACCTATCCGAGGACAGATTTTGTTTTGCTGAATCGAGAACAATCTGGATGCAGTTTAAACTATCTTTCTAAACAAGAGAAAAGAAGAAAATTCTAATAGCATTGTTCTCCGTAACATAAATGTAGTTAAATAAAGATATTGTCGAGGAAATTAGCTTGTCTTAGCCACGACGAATGACAAACCAAAACACAAGGCGTTGGTGACAACGTTTCGACCCTCCAACGCCTTGCGTTTTGGTTTTTTGTTCGTTGTGGCTAACGCAAGCTAATTTCTTCAAAAATCATGAGCATGATGCCCAAGTTTTTCAGTGAGATCCGTTCCATCCATAGCTCTCGTGTGATTAAAGATATTGTCCTTCTTGATTCCAATAATTCAGTAATTGGATGCTGTCAGTTAAATAAAACGCAGAACATTAGTAAAATAAGGAAGGTCCTTGTTTGAAGAACGGAATTAAGTTGAAAATAAGGGTTGGTAGAAGATATCGGCACTAGCACGTGGAACGCATGTGAGAGTAATCGTTTTGTGTGAGAAATTTTCAATAATAATTGATTGCGTCGCTTAGCTTATTGAGGCAAATAACAAATCAAGGTATTTTTGGTAATCACAAAACACACGTGATTCAGTAATTTAGACATTCTCACATACTGGTGTCATAGAGCCTTGGAGTATGATCTAACTTTATCCCTCTTCAACCTCAACATCAGATATTCTAAATCCATGCGCGTCATGCAATACACTACCCGGATCCTAGACCGCGCTGCTTGCTGTACAGCGGTTAACTCCTTCGCGCTAACAATTCGCCTAGGAACCGACAAATTTGTCCACTGAAATATTCAGCAGCCATCTCCCCCTTCAAATAAACACTGTAAAAACGTACACATCCACAAAGGCCAAAATTACTACTTGGAGCTGAGGTAACATGACGACTACCGTCCTTCTTTTTGACAAATACCAATGTGTGCACATGATCGGCTATCAAGGGGCTTCCCGAAAGGTGTTAGACACCATTTGACAATCAGTTTCAAGGAATATTAAAGAATTACAAAGACACTGGGTGTTCCTGTGCGCCAGAAGTCGTTTCCTCCAGTCATTGATACCTTCAATAGTTTTTATTCCTAAGACATTT